GTTAGCACCTAAACATTTTTATGCTGGTTGTACTATTACAGTAAACAATTAATTTAATTAAATATGATGGGAACCATCTTTTTAGAAAAAAATCGAACACCTACAATGTGCCAGGCTCTGTTCTTCATGCTCGGAATCAGCTGGTGAACAAAGCAACAAAGATTTCTTTTTCTCATGTAATGTATGCTTTTTTTTCTTTCTTTTTTAATTTTTTTATTTTTTGAGAGAGAGAGTGTGAGCAGAGGAGGGGCAGAGAGAGAGGGACAATCTCAAACGGGCTCTGCACCGTCAGCGCAGAGCCCGATGTGGGGCTCGAACTCACGAAACTGTGAGATCATGACCAGAGCTGAAATAGAGTCAGACGCTTAACAGATTGAGCCGCCCAGGCGCCCCCCCAACTTATGTTCTACGCCAAAGGATATAACCTACCTTACAGAGTGTGTCTCTGAGTTGCCTGCTTCCACGAGACTCAACAAATGTGAGTTGCTCAAAAGTTTTGCTTAATTTGGTATGGTTGCGACAACTGTAAAAAGATTTGAAAAAACATTGCAAGGATCTGGAAGGAGGCCACACTCAGAACACTTCACAAGTATTTTTAAATTCTTGTTCTATTTTAAAGAAGTCAAAATTAGAAATATATGGATGTGACTTATAGAAGAAAACTAATGAAGCCATCCAATCAGCAAACCCATACCCAAGAAAGGCTTTGGGCATTTATCAGAAAATAGGTGAAGATTCCTTACTTTACATATTTTAAGTTAAACTGAAGTGGTTAAGGCAAGTATGCATCCTTTCCATTTTTAATACGGATTTGCACTGTAAGTGGTCTTTTTTTTCCTTAAGTTTTTAAAATTTATTTTAGAGAGAGAGACAGAGTGCATGCCCACGTGTGCAAGGGGCAGAGAGAGAGAATCCCAAGCAGGCTCCATGCTGTCAGCATTGAGCCTGATGCGGGCCTCGATCACACAACCAAGAGATCATGACCTGAGCCAAAGTCAAGAGTCAGTTGCTGTCAGCTGAGCCACCCGGGTGCCCCTGTACATGGCCTTTGTTGATTGGCAACCAACAGCTAGTCCCACCTGGGTTAAAGACTTTCTGCTCTGTTTTTCAAGGACTGGTGGAATCAAAAACCACCAGGGGAACTGCAGTCCTGAATCCAAAGTTCTGGGAATGAGCCCTCGGAGTCTGTATTTAAATAAAACTTCTAGGAACTGGCTGAGAAAGGCTGGCCACGAGGCCTCTCCTGCTGATCAGGGCAAAACCCCTAGGTCCTTCTTGGTCTGGACCTTCAACCTTGAAGATCAGGACTCAAGACACCATTTCATGGGAAAGCTCCATCCTGTCTTTAGAGGACAAAACCTTTTTAGAGGTCTCATTTTGAACTGTGTCAAAGCAGAGACCTGGTGTTAAAATAAGTGGAAGTCAACTTGCAATTCTTAGGCACACCAAGGAGATCAATAAAAGCTCCTTGACTCCGGCAGTTTATGATCTTGGGACAAACTCCGCCTGTGTCATTAGGTTATGTTGCTAGACAGTATACAGTCTAATTAATAGCAGAATCACATGCTACCGATCCTGCAGGGCTGCGAGAGACTCAGGATGACCAATGGTCCCCATCTGCCCAGGATTAGGAGGTGTCCTCAGATATGGGAGTTTCAGCGCCAAAATGGAGACAGTCTGGAGCCAACTGGGAGAGTTGGTCACTATAGAGAAGGATGGCTTTGCTGGCAAGCACGGTGGGGAAGGCATTGCAGAGGAGGAAGAGAAGCGGAGTGGTGCTGGAATCTAGAAGAATGTACAGCGACCCAGAGCTTGGCGGGGAGAGAGAGAATGCTAATACAAATACATGGGTGGCCTCCGGGATCCCCAGCGCTGGTAGTTTCAATCCGGGTATTTTAGACAGAGCGTGCGCTTAGCGATTGCTTGGCACGTTGCTGCAAGAAGCGAGAGGGAGTAAGTGGTTTTGCAGGCTCAACTGTTGACAGGGCCTGTGTGCACCTACCTCTGAGTTCAGGATAATTAGCTCGTGTCTGCAGCAGCTTCGAGCGTGTGCAGCCCGCCCCGAAACCCAGATGTTATTAGTCGGTCAGCACCATCTTAACGAAACCACAATTCAGCGGTCCCATCATCCCTTATTTCTTCCCCATTCCTTTGAGGGAGCCGGATGCCTTCAGGTTTCAGGCGAGTCGGGCGTCTCACGGGAACAGTAGAGGCTACGGTGTCTGACGCCACCCATGGGAATGGGCTTCAAACCGGTTCCGGGCCCCGGTGGTCAGCCTGGGGGGCCAGTTTCTGAAGTAGGCCATCGACCTCCTATTAGGGGCTTTGCATTCTTCGTCCCGCCTCCTCGCTGGTTGCTGGCGTGTTTACAGATCTCCTTCCTAGATGTATCATAACCTTGTATCAACCATCCCTGTGACATCACAGGCCAGATGCTATTTCAATAGACATCATAGCTTTTAAAAAATGTTTATTTATTTTGAGAGAGCGTGTGCAAGCAGGGGAAGGGGGAGGGAGGGGGAGAGAGAGAGAGAGAGAGAGAGAGAGAGAGAGAGAATCCCCAGCAGGCTCTGTGCTATCAGCACAGAGCTGCATGTGGGGCTCGAACCCACAAACCGTGAGATCATGACCTGAGCTGAAATCAAGAGTCAGGCGCTTAACTGAGCCACCCAGGCGCCCCCGAGGTCACATATCTTTTAATGAGAGAGCTGCTAATGTGGCAATGCAGCTGAAAGCACTGAAGGACAGCCCCCTCTCCACGAGGGTCCAGGTCAAAGGGCTCTGGTGAGGGCTGAGCTCTCAAAGCATGTGTGTACATATATGTACATACATATATGTATGTATGAGAGTGTGTATGTTGCATGTGGTACATGTGTAGGGCGAGTGGGTGTATATGTGTGTGTGTGTATGTGTGTGAGTGGGTGTACCTGTGTATGGGTGTATTTGTGCGCATGTGTGGGAATGGTGTATGTTGTATGTGTGAGTATGTGTGTGTGTAGGTTGTGTGTATATGTGGCGTGTGCGTGTGTATGTATATGTGTATGCGCACATGGGTATGCACACAGCCTTCTTGAGGGATCCCGGAGAGTTGGTGGTTATGCTCTGGGCCCCAGCTGGTGAACAGGCTTGCCAGCCCCTGGATGTGGGTGCCGAGACATCTCCCTGTTCCTCGTTCTGGTGAGAGGGTGAGTGACAGTGCTGGGGACGTGGGAGGGGGAAGTCAACCGATGCAGAACCCAGGCTGGGCTCTCGTCCTGTCATCGTCCCTCGCCCGGTCGGAGTTCACGGCAGAGGGAATCACAGGAGGGTTTCACCGCAAACCATAACCAGCCTCAGACACCGGGCCAATCTGCCCATCTACTGGGAGCAGTTTGCCAGGCCATCGTTGCTAAGCAGTAGATACGAATCCTTCACGTGAGCCCTCCAGCTTCCAGATTTATTTGGAGGATCCCACCCCTCGGCCAGCCCGCCACACAGGGTGGACAGAGTGAGGAGTCAGCAAAGCTGACTCACTTCAGACGTTTTGTAAAGCCCAGAAGTCGAGGCTATTCCCGCAGGATGGCTGTTAAGAGGTCTTGAAAAATCTACGTGGTAGATGGAATACACTGGCCACTTCCTACGTGACCGTGGAGGAAGAGGTGAACTCTTACTAAGCAGATCAACAGTTTAAAAACCCAGAGAGACAGACTGGGAAGCAGAGAAGCCAAGAACATGAGTGTCCATTCGCTGTCATGAGCCCCGAAATCCGAATGCCAAGGACTCCTTGGGATTAGACTCTTTGGCTTTCTTTCTGACGGGCTTAGGCAAGTGCCGTCAGTTCCCTGGCACATGAGTGTGTTTTCCCCCCAGCAACGGCGCCCACGTAAGTTATTGCACAACTCAGTCATCCGACATGGCCTTAAGAAAAGGGAGTGCTGTGTGAATAGGGGTTAGGAGCTGTTTAAAGGTGACAGCATACTCCTCTTTCATATTAAGTCTTTTAAATTGCCACATCAAATATCTGAGTGACCCATGACCCTTGTCTGCATGATCACACAGAGACATTTGCAGCCACTTTTGTTGGAAAGGAAAGTGCGTGCCACCTCCTGACCAGACTTCAGACAAGCTGGCCTCTGGCCACTGGTTTTCTTTTGCTCTAAAAACGATGGGTTCTCTTGATCTGCAGTGAGACGCCTTTGTACCGATAACCATCTGACTGCTCTTCCTTTCTTCTCTCTGCCTTTCATTCTTTTCTTTCACTTGTGTTGACAGAGAACCTATGAGTGATGAAAAAGAAATCATGTTTCTGGCAGTCACTGAAGTTCACTCCATATTTTCCCCACACTCATTTCAGCTGTAGGAACTTCACATTTTGGGATTCCATGTAAACATTACTTACAGGGACGCCTGGGTGGCTCAGTCGGTTAAGCGTCCGACTCTTAATTTCAGCTCAGGTCGAGATCTCACGGTTCACAAGATCGAGCCCTGCATGGGGCTCTGCGCTGACAGCGAGGAGCCTGCTTGGGATTCTTTCTCTCTCCTGTCTCTCTGCTCTTTTCCTGTGCTTGTGTGCTCTCTCTCTCTCTCTCTCTCTCAAAATAAGTGAATAGACTTAAGAAAAAACCCTTTACTTACAATATACATCAGAGCTACCCAAAAGAACTTTCTGCAATGATGGAAATCGTCTATATCCACGCTGTCCAGTACAGTAGCCACTACAGGTGGCCCTTGAGCACCTCAAATGTGATTCACGTGACAAAGGAACCACATTTAAAACTTTACTTAATTTTAATTGATTTAAATTTAAATAGCTGCATGTGGCTGCAGGCTATCCTAGGGAACAGTGCTATTACAGAGCATATATGTGTCTCCAAGGCTTTCCTCCTCCCCTGCTCCCTCCGAATCCAAGCTCGCTTTTTTTTTTTTTTAACCATAAGTGACCCTGGCACGCTTCAGCATCCCTCTCTAGGCTCCTTAACATGAGAGGAAGTAAGCAAACACTCAGCTTGTTGCCCTACAATTTCTGCAGCTCTCAGACTCCTTCATGTGGAGGCTGGGAGGGGGGTTGGGAGAGGCTTACTGAAATGCCAGTAACATGGTGAGAAAACGTCCGTTCTCCACCAGGCATTTCCTTTGTTGACACGACAGGTTTTCTCTGTGTCCATGTGAGGAGAGCAACGGCTCACCCTGAAATGGAATGCCCGACGTCTCAGGTGGGTGATGTTTCTATTTCAGTTTAATGTGTGTTTAAACTCATATAAGTTCCTTGAGTTATGTATGCTTGAAGGTACGACATTATAAATGTTTTAGGAGAAAGCCTGTGGAAATTGCATTGCGATTACATAACCAGAGAAGAATTTGACGAGTCCTGGGTTTGCACGAAGGAAAGCAGCTCGGGAGGGAGCTGAGCCTCCAACCAAAGCCCCACTTCCCCAGGACAGAATCATCGGAGTGTGACCCGGGTGATACTGGCAAAGAGCCCGGGCGAGGAAGATGGTTGGGAAAGGTGGATTTACTCAAACGGGCTCCTGGGAAAAGAAAGGAGCAAGGAGTTTCCAGGGTGGAAAAAATAAATTTCATGCTTTTTAGCGAAGGTCGAAGGCAGTTATTGAGCCCTGAAAGGAGAAAGTGGGTGGAAAGAGAATATAGCACAGATAATGTGTACCTGGAAAAGGTCTGGGGCCTGAAGACAGCTCATGGGTGTCAGAAGAACAGGATAGATGGGGTCTGCCTGTGATTGGGTGTCACACAGACACCACGTTAAGGGGATGATGACCAGGTCTGGGGAAGAGTCCTTGTTTAAAATGGGAAAGTGTCTCCTTCACTTATTCAGCCATCCGGCTGTTTAGGTCTGCTCAGGCTGCTGTAACAAGATACTATAGACTAGGTGGCTTACACACCAGCAATTTATTTTTCTCATAGTTCTGGAGGCTGGGAGCCGGCTGATTTGGTTACTCATGACAGATCTCTTCTGGCTTGTACCTTCTTGCTGGGTCCTCACATGGCAAGGTGGGGTAAGGGAAGGAGAGAGAGAGAGAGAGATGGAGTGGGAGAGGGGGAGGGGAGAAGGGAGGGGAAAAGGAGGGGAAGGAGGGAGGGAGGGAGGAAGAGAGCTGCCTGTCATCTCTTCCTATAAGGGCCCTAATCCCATCAGACCATAGTCCCACCCTCAGGAGCACATCGAACCCTCATTGCCTCCCAAAGGCCCCATCTCCTAATACCATCACGCTGGGAATTAGCACTTCAGTGTGTGAATTTGGAGGGGAAGACAAATTATAAGTATATAGCATCAGCCATTCAACAAATATTTATTGAGCACTAGTTATTAAGTGCTACAGTTATATTGAGTAAAACACCATCTCAGTCTCAAGGAACTCAGTGCAAACAATCACAGCCCAAAGACCTAAGTGCACTAATAGAGAAAGTGCTGGGAGGTGCACAGAGGATGAGGGACCGGCTCTGCTTGGGGGTGTACGGATTAGGGTTATGTGACATTTGAGCGACTCTTCTCTTCTCTTCCCTTCCCTTCCCTTCCCTTCCCTTCCCTTCCCTTCCCTTCTCCTTCCTTCCTCTCTTCCTTCCTTCCTTCCATACCTCATTCATTCAATCAAAAAGTTTATCAAGTGTCTACCAAGTACAAAGTCCTATTCTACTGCCCAAGGTCATGGCGCTCAATGAGTCAGACAAAAATACTTGACCTTTGGTGATTATATTCTAGAGGAATAAGATAATAAATAATAAGCGACTAGGTAAACTATTACACAGTCTATCATATTATTATTTCTTTGCCTCAGGTTTATTTTTTAAAATCTTTATTATTGAAGTATACTTAACACATGATGTTCAGGCGTACAACATAGTAATTCAATGATTGTATATGTTACAAGCATCTCTCGAAGAACTAGGGAGGTACAGAGAGGGTGATTCCCAGACAGAGGTGACAGTATGTGCCAAGTCAGGAAGGTGGTCGAGGCACAGTGTGTTCTGACATTTGGCATGATCTGTTGTGTCATGGGATTATGAATGATGGCATGGGCTAGGATAGGTCAGCAGGAGATGACATTAGAGAGACAGGTTGGACTTGGAGGAAGATCCAGATATGCCATGCTAAGGACTTTGAACCTGCTCTCAAAGGAAATGGGGAGTCTGAGAACTAAACAGAGTTTTAAACGGGAGAATGTGCAGACCTACGTGTAGGAAGCTAGTGGGCATTGCATTAATGTGCTGGGGCTGCCATCACAAAGTACTACGGACTGGATGGCTGAAACAACAGAAATTTATTTTCTTACAGTCCTGGAGACTGGAAGTGCAAGATCGAGGTGCTGGAAGGTTCAGTCTCTTCTGAAGCCTCTCTTCTTAATTTGTAGGTGGCCGTCTTTTCCCTGTGTCTTCACATGGTCTTCCCTCTATGGTGTGTGCCTGTCTGTGTCCGAATTTCCTCTTTTTGTGAGGACACAAGTCCTATCGGGTTAGGGCTTACCCTGATGACCTCGTTTTAGCTTGCAACCTCTTGAAAAGGCCCCATCTCTAAATATAGTTACATTCTGAGGTACTGGAGGTTAGGGCTTTAACACACGAGTATGGATGGGGGCTGGGGAGGTGGGGGCACAATTCAGCCCATCACAGGCATCCATACTGAAGGTAGGCTGGATAACAAAGGCTGGTAGGTGATGAACTACTTTAAAGCTCTTTGGTACAAATTCACTTGTTGAGTAATGGTGAAGACCTGATTGGGGGCTGTGGTGGGGACAGAGAGGAGCTGGTAGTTTGGGGAGGCATTGGGAGGCTAATGGCTGAAACTAAGTCAAGGAATTTACTAGAAGGGAGAAGTTTGTACCCCTTAACTCAGAATCCCTACCTAATGTCAACAAATACTCGACATACAAACGGGTGCAGATGAAAGCCCGTGAGTTCAGGATATAACAGATACCCTGACTGCAAGGTGATGAGATCCAGCCTCAGTGTCACACCCAGGATCGCTGCTGAGGTAGAAGTGTGACACTTTTTATAATAATTTCTTATCCGAGAGCTCTTCATCCTGCTAATAAATTCTTTTTTTTTAATATGAAATTTATCGTCAAATTGGTTTCTATACAACACCCAGTGCTCATCCCAACAGGTGCCCTCCTCAATACCCATCACCCACCCTCCCCTCCCTCCCACCCCCCATCAACCCTCAGTTTATTCTCAGTTTTTAAATGTCTCTTGTGGTTTGGCTCCCTCCCTCTCTAACTTTTTTTTTCCTTCCCCTCCCCCATGGTCTTCTGTTAAGTTTCTCAGGATCCACATAAGTGTGAAAACATATGGTATCTGTCTTTCTCTGTATGACTTATTTCACTCAGCATAATACTCTCCAGTTCCATCTATGTTGCTACAAAAGGCCATATTTCATTCTTTCTCATTGCCAAGTAGTATTCCATGGTGTATATAAACTACAATTTTTTTTATCCATTCATCAGTTGATGGAAATTTAGGCTCTTTCCATAATTTAGCTATGGTTGAAAGCCTGCTAATAAATTCTGCTTCTCTATGTGCACAAGAGCTTGAGCATACACCTTCATCAGGTCTAAACAAAGGGACTAGTATATTTCCTAATGTCCTGAAGAAGTGGTTGGTGATTTAGGGGAGCAGAGTTATCTAGAAAAATCATTGGAGGGACTCAGGTGCAGTGAAAGTGATCCTTTGCTCCCTATTAAACCTCATCGTGCCTATGTTGTATATTCTCAGCATTACCGAGACTATTGCTTTATCACATTACTTATGTCATATAATTGTTTTTGACTCAATGCCAGAAACACCTGGACCAGAGAGGTCCCTGACTTCATTGAAAAACAGCTTCCAAGTTTCAGCAACTTTTAAAAATAGAATTTCTAAAGTCTTCCCTTTGACTAGAACAAGCAATCCTAAAATTTGTATGGAACCACAGAAGACCCCGAATAGCCAGAGTAATATTGATGAAGAAAACCAAAGCAGGAGGCATCACAATCCCAGACTTTAGCCTCTACCACAAAGCTGTAATCATCAAGACAGTATGATATTGGCACAAAAACAGACACATAGATCAATGGAATAGAACAGAGAACCCAGAATTGTACTCACAAATGTATGGCCAACTAACCTTTGACAAAGCAGGAAAGAGTATCCAATGGAAAAAAGTCTCTTTAACAAATGGTGCTGGGAGAACTGGACAGCAACATGCAGAAGAATGAAACTAGACCACTTTTAAACGTAAAAAAAAAAAAAAGAAAAGGGGCTCCTGGGCGGCTCAGGTCATGATCTTGTGGTCCGTGAGTTCGAGCCCCGCATCAGGCTCTGTGCTGACAGCTCAGAGCCTGGAGCCTGCTTCAGATTCTGTGTCTCCCTCTCTCTGACCATCCCCTGTTCATGCTCTGTCTCCCCCTGTCTCAAAAATAAATAAAAAACGTTAAAAAAAAAAAAAGAAACTAGACCACTTTCTTACACCATACACAAAATAAACTCAAAATGAATGAAAGACCTAAATGCGAGACCAGAAACCATCAAAACCCTAGAGGAGAAACCAGGCAAGAACCTCTTTGACCTCAGCCTCAGCAATTTCTTGCTTGACACATCTCCGAAGGCAAGGGAATTAAAAGCAAAAATGAACTACTGGGACCTCACCAAGAGAAAAAGCTTCTGCACAACAAAGGAAACAATTGACAAGACTGAAAGGCAACTGATGGAATGGGAAAAGACCTCTGCAGATGACATATCAAATAAAGGGTTAGTATCCAAAATCTATAAAGAATTTACCAAACTCAACACCCAAAAAAACAAATAATCCAGTGAAGAAATGGGCAGAAGACATGAATAGACACTTTTCCAAAGAAGACATCCGGATGGCCAACAGACACATGAAAAGATTCTCAATGTCACTCATCATCAGGGAAATACAAATTAAAACCACACTGAGATACCACCTCACACGGGTCAAAGTGGCTAAAATTAACAACTCAAGAAACAGATGCTGGTGAGGATGTGGAGAAATGGGAACCCTCTTGCACTGTTGGTGGGAATGCAAACTGGTGCAGAGGCTCTGGAAAACAGTGTGGAGGTTCCTCAAAAAATTAAAAAGAGGGGCGCCTGGGTGGCGCAGTCGGTTAAGCGTCCGACTTCAGCCAGGTCACGATCTCGCGGTCCGTGAGTTCGAGCCCCGCGTCAGGCTCTGGGCTGATGGCTCAGAGCCTGGAGCTTGTTTCCGATTCTGTGTCTCCCTCTCTCTCTGCCCCTCCCCCATTCATGCTCTGTCTGTCTCTGTCCCAAAAATAAATAAACGTTGGAAAAAAAATTAAAAAAAAAAAAAACTAAAAAGAGAACTACCCTACGACCCAGCAATAGCATTACTGGGAATTTACCCAAGGGATACAGGAGTGCTGATTCATAGGGGCACATGTACCCCAGTGTTTATAGTAGCACTATCAACAATAGCCAAATTATGGAAAGAGGCCAAATGTCCATCAACTGATGGATAAAGAAGATGTGGTGTATACATACATACAATGGAATAGTACTTGGCAATGAAAAAGAATGAAATCTTGCCATTTACAACAACGTGGATATAACTGGAGGGTATTATGCTAAGTGAAATAAGTCAATGAGACAAAGACATATCATATGTTTTCACTCATATGTGGAAGTTGAGAAACTTAACAGAAGACCATGGGAGAGGGAATGAAAAAAAATATATTGTTACAAACAGAGGGAGGCAAACCATAAGAGACATTTGAATACAGAGAACAAACTGAGGGTGGAAGGGAGTGGAGGGGTGTGTGTGTGGGGGGGGATTGCTGATGGGCATTGAGGAGGGCACTAGTTGGGATGAGCACTGGGTGTTGTATGTAAGTGATGAACCATGGGAATCTACCTCCAAAACCAAGAGCGCACTGTACACACTTTATGTTAGCCAATTTGACAATAAATTATATTAAAAAAAAAACAAAGGTTAGATGTAATGCTATTAAAAGACATCAAAAAAATAATAATAAAGTCTTCCTTTGAGTCATTGCCCCAGAACTGAACTCTCCTGCTTTTTCCTTTTCAGAACTCCTTCATGCTACTGGGTCACTGCCACTTCTGTCTTCCTCCAAAATACCACGTACCTAGAGCACGGCACCACTAAGCACGGGTAAGAGGGGAGAAGGCAGTGAAGGTGTGTATGGCACAGTTCCTGCTTCCAGGAGCACACAGTCTCCTGAAAGAAAAGAGAAGCGCAGGATGTTGAAATGGGACTCTTGTCTCTCTTTTTGGCTGAGGCACCAAGTCAATAGATACAACAGCAATGACATTGCAAAGCGAGGCATGTGGTTTCCCAGGCAGGACTGCAAAGGAGGTCACTGGGAAGCCAGCTTTGAGGCCCCAGCTGACCACCAGCTGCAGCCTATACAAAACACTGGAGAGGCCAAGAGAGAGGCTGGAGGTTAGACAGAGAACTCCTTTGAAGAGAAATAGGCAGTGTGCACTGAGTTTTATCCCTCCATGGAGGGGGAGGTGGTGCTGCTACCTTCTTTCCTCGGTCTGTGAGGGTGACTTCAAAAACACCTTTGGACAGCTTGTCAGGTATTCCAAGGAAAATGGGTAACTCAGGGGACCAGAGTCTGGGTATGTGGATTCTCACGAGTGAGAGGTTGGCTGAGGCCACAGAGAAAAGGTCTGTGTGCCCGCACTTGAACTGACCGCAGGCCAAAGATGCATGTTCACTGTGGACCAGAGGTGAGTGTGTGTGTGAGAGAGAGAGAGCCCTGGGGGATTATCATAGAGAAGGCCCAGAGCAGAAAGAAGCTAGAGGAATTGCTATGTGACCATGGGCCAAAGGAGGGCTTTTAAGTGACCAGCTAGATGGGACTCTTCTGCCTGAGTCACAGGCATGATAGGTGGGAAATAGCCCCAGTTTTGGGGGGCAGGAAGGAGGCTCAGAGAAAGAATTGGCTTCACACAGGAGTCATGTGACCAAAGGCTGCTTCCTCTGCCCCTTCCCTGATTCTAACCTTGGCAAGGACAGAGGTACAGCCAGCAAGGTGAGTGAAAGAGAGAAAAAACCAACCACATGGTTCCAAGGGCCCACCAGAAGGAGGCCCAAACCGATAGGGAGGGACTTTAACGTTAAATGGAAATTTGACCATTATATGGGCTGGATATTGTGAACGTATTATCTGAGAGAAGCAAGAAGCCGCGAGGCCTGCCTGAGATTTCATATGGTGGCAGAGAAAGAGCCAGCCCCTCCAGTGGGTTGAACCCACTCTTTTAGGGTAAGGAAACACTGTGTTCTGATTGTACTTGGTGATTTTCCCTCTTTCCAGTACTGGTTCTTTTTTTTTTTTTTTAATTTTTTTTTTTCCAACATTTATTTATTTTTGGGACAGAGAGAGACAGAGCATGAACGGGGGAGGGGCAGAGAGAGAGGGAGACACAGAATCGGAAACAGGCTCCAGGCTCCGAGCCATCAGCCCAGAGCCCAACGCGGGGCTCGAACTCACGGACCGCGAGATCGTGACCTGGCTGAAGTCGGACGCCTAACCGACTGCGCCACCCAGGCGCCCCAGTTTCCAGTACTGGTTCTATGCACACATAATGATGATCTCAGGCAGAATAACGTACCCGTCTCTTGTTGCCTCAGCGCACACCCATTGGACTCCTCCTCTGTGCCAGACCCAGCTGACTCTGGGGAACAACAGGGAACAAAACCAGGCAAGGCCTTGACCCTTCAGAGAACTGACAGTCCAGCTGGGGAGACTCTAGACCCTATGAAACAAACTCACGTGCAGCATGTTTTGAGAATGTGATGAGGGAAGAATCACACAGGAGTGGAGTAGAAAAGAGGAAAGGCTTCCTGGAAGAGAGAGGACGGAGTTGGGTCCTGCAGAAGTGGCCAGCCCTGGGTGGGAAGCAATGGCCAAGAAGGCTCTCCAGACAGAGTGACCAGTGTTCAGGCACATCATGGGAGAGGAGTGGTCCAATGTCGTGTCAGCACAGAGTGTGCAAAAGGCCAAATGAGTATGAGTCTATTATAGGAAATAGAATACAGTAGGCAAATCTACAGAGATGGGAAGCAGATTGGTGATTGCCTAGGGTTGAGGGGGTTGCTAATGAGCACTGGGGCTCTTGTTGGGAAAAGGAAATTTCCGAAAATTTGATTGAGATGATGGTTACCTTAAATACATTAAATATACTGAAACCATTGAATTAGACACTTCAAATGAGTGAATTTCATGGTATATGAATTATATCTCAAAAAAGCTGCTAGAAAAAGAATCCAGTCACAGCACAATAAATATAGATGATACAATCCGTAGAGAATTCAGAATCTGGCAACACTAGACAGCATGTCATTTAAGAATAGGTGGCAAACCTATAAAGAAATCAGGGGAATCCAGTCAATAATATTGTAATAACTTTGTACAGTGACAGATGATAACTAGACTTACTGTGGGGATATTATAGGGTATTGTATGTCAGTTAAACTTCAGTAATAATAATAAAAAAAAAAGAAATAAAGGGAATGATCCTGCAAATGTCAGGGCAAAATTCATTCTTGGAGGCAGGAGGGAAACAGGTAAATGGGGGAGCACAGGAGTCAGTGACCATCTAACAAAGCCAACATAGCTGAGTCTTACTGTGACTGGTGGTTTCACAGGCATGATCTTTATAAAAATAATTGTACATCCCTTAGGAACAATCTTTTGAATGTATGACATGTTTCAAAATAAATAAAGACAAAAGGGGAGGAGGACAAATGAGAGACAGGACCAAAAGTCCCCTGGCACTCATGGGGAAGAGTCCAGAGCACGAGGTGAGACCTAACGAGGGAGACGATGGGGAGCCGTTGAACGTACTTGAGGAGACAGCAAGGGGATGGGAGAGGTAGTTTAGGAAGGTAACCAGGCTCTGTGAGCAAGATGGATGGGAGCAGGGAGTGGCCCTGGGTGGGGAGAAGTTCCAGGGGAGAGAGAACAGGGTCTGAGCATGTGCAGTGGGCCAGTCGGGGAGGGGGTGCCATGGGAATGGCGTGAGGACCACCGTGCAGAAATCAGTGATGTAAGAGTAAGGGAAGAAGGATGCCTGGGAGAATGAATGACAGCATGGTGGGCAGAGATAGGGAGTCAGGGAGGAGGGGCTGGAGGGAAGCAGAGATGAATAGTTCAGCCTTGGCTACGTATGGAGTATAAGAAACTACTATATTATAAAATGAGGGATCTCAGGAGCTTGCAACTCTAACTCTTGGCAAATTGTAGGTTCCCACATAATTATGGGATCTTTCCAAGTTCTATTTGGACCAGGTTCTTTGAGGAACCTGCCTGTCTTTTGTAGTCCCAACCCTCTCTGTATCTCAGCCTGATCTGCACTCCCCGCCTCCCACCACTTTCCAAGATGTAGAACGAGAGGAGTCCCGTTGGTTTAGCCCAGGGCCTTGGCAGTGCCGATTTGAGAGGAGGCTTTTCGGCTTCCCAGCTCTGAAAACTCTCCTTGAATAAATTGTTCTTGGCTACCCCAGCTTCCTGCTGCTCTGGGAACCTTATCTGGCATAGCTTGTGAGAGGAGCAGAAATGAAGGTCCCCAGGAGGTAAAGACTCCTAAGGCTAGGACCTGAAGGAAGAACAAGCTCCTCCAGTTCCAGGTGGGAGGAGCAGGCGGGCAGGTGCCAGCGAGAGACAGCGTGAGTGGAGCTGACAGGGAGGGGCCCGAGAGCAAGCCAAGGGCCAAACTGTGCAAGCAGTTAGACTGGACTGACTATTTACCCTAAGGGTAACTGAAGCTATTGAAGGTTTTGAAGTAGGGAAATGATATGATCGGTTTCTACTTGTGGCTAATGAACATTTACTGTGTGCCAGGAATCCTTCAATCTTTTCATCTACACTATCTTATTTAATCTTTTTAGTGTCTCTATGGGACTGGATATGATCCATCCATCCATCCGTCCATCCACTCATCCACCCACTCAACTCTCCATCCTTCCATCCATCCATCCCTCCATCCCTCCATTCATCCACCCAACTAACAATTTTTTAAAAATTGAAGACAGCTTTGTGCTAGTCACTGTACTCATGTTCTTTGGACAGATGAGGAAATTGAAGGGTCCTCACTCCTAGAAGTTCAAATCAATTCTTTAAAAAAAATTTGTTTTTTAGTTTATTTATTTTTGAGAGAGAGAGAGAGAGAGAGAGAGAGAGAGAGAGAGAGAGAGAGAGAGTGCGAGCAGGGAAGGGGCGGAGAGAGTGGGAAGCACAGAATCTGAAGCAGGCTCCAGGCTCTGAGCTGTCAGAACAGAACGGAGCCCGATGCGGGGCTCCAACTCACAATCTGCGAGATCGTAGATCATGACCTAAGCCAAAGTCGGCACTTAACTGACCTACAGCCTAGGTCAAATCAAGGCTGTAACTAGAAAGAGGCTTGGCCAGAATTCAATTCCAGGAAAGCAGACTCCAGCGCCTGGGGTTTTCCACTGGATCAGAGGCATTGCTCAGGTCTCTTTTCAGGGTAGGACTGCAGGTCCTGGGTGAGTCCTAAAGGCAAGGTCACCTGGGATCCTGAAGTATGAATTGGTCTTCAGTAAAATGAGGGGGTTGCTGAGGCCACTATATATGAGATGAATAGAATAAAAAGCACATGTGTGAATGAATTTGGCAGACCTGGTTACCTGCCATTTCTCTGCCTTCTTTCTTGCTAACAGACGTCTGATTTGGGGGGTGGGGCATGCTGGGAAAAGCAAAGTGTGGGGGAACCACAGTGTATCTAGTTTCTATAGAGACTTGTGATTGGTTTGAAACCAATCATGGCTAAGCTAATACTGTTTGTTAGGTACTCACCTTTTCTGCCCCCTTTGCAGCTAGTGGGGGGCCAGCCATGTGACCAAGTTTTGGCCAGTGAAACAACGGGGAAGTCTGTTGAGGGCTTGTAAAAAATGGTTTTGATTGCCCTGATGGAAAGCAAGAAAATCAGCCCTGTCTATCTGGCTGCCTTACTGCATCCTGACTTTGAATGCAGTCATGATTCCTGGAGCTGTGGTAGCCATCTTGTGACCATGAGGCAACAGACACAAAGACAAAAAGCCAGCAAACGAGGTGGCAGGATAGAAAGAGCTGGGTTCTTAATGTACTTGAGCAGCTAACAAATGGCAGCAAGGGCTTCCCTCCAGACTGCTAATACGTGAAAAAAGTAAATCCCTAGGAGTTAACATTTTTTTCCATTACCTCTAGTTGACCATGTGCTAACTGATATAATAAGCATGGTGAGGAGAAGGCAGGAAGGAGAGAACTTATTTGGAGTGTAGGGTGATGTGAAGGCACCAATGGGAATGTGGCTTTGTTTTCTCATTACTTTATGTGTTGTAAATCTTGAAGACAGGGTCACTTTTTCTTTTCTGTTTTTTATCTTTTCCCTTCTGTACTCGCCTAACTTCCCCCTTCCCTTTCGCCCACATCAAGCCCCCATGCACCATGACTTGGTTTGGAATGAAGAAATTTCCCCTTTGTTGATTCTCACTCTACCTTTGTCAAGTTATCAAAAATTTTCCAGATAGGGCAGACACCTAAACTCTTTCACTGTACTCATGAAAACTTTTACAGATGCTTCGCTTATTATTTTCTTTAATGCCCAGAAGGGAAGCTGGTAATTTAGAAACTTACATGGTCCTTTGAGAAGAGGAAAGGCCTCAAGCCAAAAATGTCATAAAAGAATTTGGAAGGGAGGGAAGGGCAGTTGTAAAAATAAAATGACAGAGACAATGGAAGAAAAGGAAAGAAAAGATACAAGGGAATCTTTTGAATCACTGGCATTTTCATGCTCTCACAAGTTATCGTCAGCAAAACCTACATGACCCCCTACCCTCACCCACCACACACTTTCTGCTTAAATCCCAGCAGTGGACTGATGTCTCTTCTATCGGGGGAGACACATTTCTGAGATATCTAATTCTAATAGCCTTGCACGACAGCACTGTTAGTTACTTTGCATACAGCTGTTACTCCAACTTCCCTTATTCCAAGTGAACAGCGTCCCATTTTTAATTACCCTCCAAAGTGTGGCAGCGCTATTCAGATTAGGATGGCCTTGCAGTGGCTTCAGACCTAGGGTAGGAAGTTGTTTTCCCTTCCAGGGATTGGCTTATGAATGGCCCTGTGACACAGTTTTGGACACTGAGACAAGAGGGGAAAGCTGGTAGGGATTTTATGGGGAAGTTTCCTTTGTTTTTAGAGGAGGTGGGCATGTTTGTTGTTGTTGTTGTTTTTTCAGATTCTGGTGTGGATGTGTAAAGAGGTGATGCCTGGAACGATGACAGCCTTTTGCGGACCATTAGAGGAGCTCTCCAAAGGATAAGCCAGCATACTAAGGATGGTAAAAAGAAAGAGTCTGTGTTTTTGGTTTTGTTTCACCTCCATATTAACCAACTCTGGAAATATTCCCCTTTCGAACTTGATGTTTTATTATTAGACTGGCTGATCAGAAAGAAGACTGGGTAAAGGTGAATCTTCAGATTCTTGCAGTGCCAGAGAATAAGGAAGTGCTAAACTGCCACCCCCAAGAGGCTATGTCAAAGGGACACAGCTGAAAGACCTTCCAATGGCCAAAACTGGGACCATTTGAGCAATAAAATAATTGAAAGGTGCTGGATTGGTCACGATCTCGTCGTCCGTGAGTTCGAGCCCCGCGTTGGGCTCTGGGCTGATGGCTCGGAGCCTGGAGCCTGTTTCCGATTCTGTGTCTCCCTCTCTCTCTCTGCCCCTCCCCTGTTCATGCTCTGTCTCTCTCTGTCCCAAAAATGAATAAACGTTGAAAAAAAAAATTAAAAAAAAAAAGAAAAAGGTGCTGGATTATAACCTGAAGTATAAAATAAATATCCACAGGTCCATACTAATATAAAAAAGTGAATAAATACATGAATAAGAATGGAGGAATCTCCTGGGCAGAAAAATTCCAAATAATTCATGTAGATATTATGTCCTCAAAGAAGTGAAGCCTAACTGCCCACTCCCTAAGTGTGGAATTCCTTTAGAAGGAACCACTTCCTTCTAAAGAGTAAACTATGGAAACTGGGGAGAAAAGGGTTACTCCACAGCGGAGAATCTTGACACATGTGACCTCAGCTGGTGATCAAGGTCAACATCAACAGGGGTTAAGTCATATTGATAGAATGTACCCCTGATATCATGTGGTAAGAATGGCACTTTATCTCTCTGGTTTTCCTTCCCCAGACCCATAATCCCTTTCTAATCATGCGACTAACATCAGACAAACCCAAATTTAGGTATGATCTAAAAAATTCTTACTTGGTACTCCGCAAAGCTATCAAAATCATCAAAGACAAGGACAATCTGAGGAACTGTCATAGCAAGAGAAGCTCAAGGAGACTTGGTGATTGACCAGAATGTGAGATCCTGGAAGGGATCCTGGATATGAGGTAAAAACAAAGGAAATTTGAGTAAAGTATGGAGTTTAGTTAATAATAATGTATCAACGTTGGTTTATAAATTTTTTTAAGTTTATTTATTTTGAGAGAGAGAGAGAGAGAGAGAGAGAGCACATGTGTGTGTGAGTAGGGGGAGGGGGAGAGAGAGGGAGACGGAATGAATCTCAGGCAGGCTCTGCACTGTCCAGTACAGATCCTGATGTGGGGCTCAAACTCGCGAACCGTGAGATCAAGGCCTGAGCCGAAATCAGATGCTTAACCCACTGAGCCACCCAGGTGCCCTGATTCACAAATTGTGACAAATTTACCATACTAACATGAGATGTTAATAATAGGGAAAAGCAGGGGAGGTAGATAGGGATTCTCAGCGTTATCTTCACAAAGTTTCTATAAACCCAAAACTATTTTAAAATTCAAAGTTGATTTTAAAAAAGAGAGCTACCGATATTAAGAATGAGAAAGATTCTAGTCACTACAGGATATTAAAAGGATAATATTATGAACAACTTTATGCCAATTTATTTGGTAAGTTAGACGAAAAGGACACAATTGTTAAAGACCCAAGCTACTAAAGTCACCCAGGAAGAAACTTAATATAGTGTAGATAACTTAAGTAGCCCATGGCTATTAAGGAAATTTCATATCTAGTTTAAAACTTTTCCACAGAGAAAACTTCCAGCTCCGTTAGTTTCACTGAGAAATTCTATCAAACATTTAAGGTAAAACTATGGCCAGTCTCACACTTCTAGCCTTCATTCCAGAAGGCTAGCATTACCCTGATATCAAAACCAGCATAAGACATTATGCGAAAACTATACCCCACTATACTTCATGCAAAAATGCTGAGCGAAATTTTAGCAAACTGAATTCAACAATATGTAAAAGGGATAATACGTCATGAGTAAATGAGGTTTATCCCAGGAAGGAAAGCTTGATTTAACATTTGAATGTCAATCAGTGTAATCTGTATTAACAAAATAACAATAAACAGAAGAAACTGAGCACTAATACACATTAACAGAACAAAAAAGGAAAAACCGTAGGATCATCTCAATGCAGAAAAAGCTTTTGACAAAATTCAACATCTATTCCTGATAAAACTCCAGCAACTAGAAACAAAAGGGAATTTTCTTCAACCTGATAAAGACATCTATGAAAACCCACAGCTAGTATAATATTTGCTGGGAAAGAGAATGCTTCACTCCTAAGATCAGGAGTGAGACAAAGGTGCTTACCATGGTAAGCAAGGTTGTACTGCAAGGTTGCGCCAAGGTTGTACTGCGGTTTCTATACGCTGCAATAAAGCAAGAAAAAGAGATAAACATTTATATTTTGAGAAAGAAGTCAACCTGGCTTTATTTACAGATGACATGGTCATCTCTGTGTAAAGTTGTATGAAATCAGTGAGTTTAGCAAGATTGCAGAATCAATATACAAGATGAATATACAAAATCAATAGTATTTCTGTACATTAGCGATAAGAAAATCAGAAATTGAAAACTTTGAAGTATGCCATTGACAAAATCATAACAGATATGAAATACTTGGAAGTCTAAAGATGTGAGGGGCGCCTGGGTGGCTCAGTCAATTAAATGTCGGACGTTGGGTCAGGTCATGATCTCAGGGTTTGTGAGTTCAAGCCCTGTATTGGGCTCTGTGCTGACAGCTTGGAGCCTGGAGCCTGCTTCGGATTCTGTGTATCCCTCTCTGCCCCTCCTCCACTTGTTCACATTCTCTCTCTCTCTCAAAAAATAAAATAAAATAAAATAAAATAAAATAAAATAAAATAAAATAAAGTTAAAATTTTTTTTTTAATTAAAAAAAAGAGAGATGTGAAAGACCTGTCACTGAAAACTCTGTAACATTGTTGCAATAAATGAAAGAAGACCTAAATAGATGGGAAATATACATGTTGATGAATTGGGAGACTCAGTATTATTACAATGTTAATGATCTCCAATGTAATCTAAAAATTCAATGCAATACAATCAAAATCTCAGAAGCCTATTTGGGGAGTAGAGATTTATTAAACTATTTCTAAAAATCCACATGGAAATACAAAAAGCCCAAAATAACAGCTTCAAAAAATATACGCAAAGTTGGGGGGACTTAATACTACCTGCATTCAAACTAGTTATAAAGTGCCAGTAACCAAGATGCGGTGTGTTATTTGCTAAAAGATAGACAAATATAGACAGAGAATAGACTGGAAAGTTCATAAATAGAGCATTTATATATGCTCTCTCTAGACATAGACAACTTATTTGGGACAAACCTACAAAGGCAATTTAGTGAAGCTTTCTAGTCTCTGCAACAGGTGGTGCTGGGATAATTATACATCCAAATGCAAAAAAAAAAAAATTAACGTCAGTACCTCATACTATGTACAAAAACAACCCCAAGTAGGTCATAGACCTAAATGTGAAAGTAAAATTAGAAAACTTTTGGAATAAAATATAAAAAAAAAAATCTTTGTGACCCTGAGTTAGACGACAATTTGTTAGATACACCACAAAAAGCATGACCCATAAAAGAAAAAATTGTTAAGTTGCACTTCATCAGAATTAAGCACTTTTTAGTCTCTTCAGTGAATGGTATTGGGAAAACTGGATATCCAGGAGCAAATGTAAGAAACTGAACTCTTACATCACACACAAAAATCAACTCAAAATGGGTTGAAGAATTAACAGTGAGATCCAAAACTGTAAAACTCTCAGATAAAAACATAGGGGAGAATCTTCAGGACCTAGGTCTTGACATTGATTGTATGGATATGACACCAAAAGCACAGGCAATAAAAACAAAAATAAGGGAGACTACATCAAACTAAAGAGTTTTCTGTATATTAAAATGAACAATCGACAGAATGAAAAGGCAGACTATGGAGTGGGAGCAAATATTTGTAAACCATGTATCTGATAAGTGGTCTCCCAAATGTTTACGGAGCTCCTAGAACTCAACAGTAAAACAACTAATAACTTGATTGAAAAAAATGGGCTGGGGACTTGAATAGATGATTCTCCAAAACAACATACCAATGTCCAACAGGTGTATGAAAAAAATACTCAATGTCAAAAAAAAAAAGCAACAAAAACAAAACCCCACACAACTCAATGTCATTAATCATTAGGGAAAAATAAATCAAAACCGCAGGGGCTATCACCTCATACCTGTTGGTGTATAACAGGGTGGCCATTATATTAAAAATAAACAGGGGCGCCTGGGTGGCTCAGTCAGTTAAGCGTCTGACTTCAGCTCAGGTCATGATCTCGCAGCTCGTGGGTTCGAGCCCCGCATCAGGCTCTGTGCTGACAGCTCAGAGCCTGGAGCCTGCTTTGGATTCTGTGTCTCCCTCTCTCTCTGCCCCACCCCCTGCTTACACTCTGTCTCCCTCTCTCAAAAATAAATAAAACGTTAAAAAAATAAACAAACAAAACCTGAAAGATAACAAGAGCTGTCAGGAAAGTGGAAAAATTAGAATCTTCGCATACTGTCAAGGCAATGCAAAATAGGGCGACGATTATGGAAAACAGTATGGAGGTTTCTCAAAAAATTAAAAATAGAAGTACTTCATAATCCAACAATCCCACTTCTGGGTTTTTTCCTAAAAGAATTGAAATAGGATCTCAAAGAGATATTAGCACTCTTTTGTCCTCTGCAGCACTATTCACAATAGTCAAGATGTGGGAACTACCGAAAAGTTCACCAACAGATGAATGAATGGAGAAAATGTGACGTATACATACAATGGGATATTACTCAGCCTTCAAGGACATTCTGCAAGATGTGACAACCCCGGGTGAAACTTGAGGACATCATACTAAGTGAAAGAAGCCAGAAAAAACAGAAAGGTAAATAATGTGTGAGGTATCTAAAATAGTCAAACTCATAAAATCAAAGAGTAGAATGGTGGTTACCAGGGCCTGGGGGAAAGGGGAAATTGGGAGTTATTAATCAATGGGCAGAAAGTTTCAGCCGAGCAAGATGAGTAATTTCAAGAGATCTGCTGTATGACCTTGTACTTACGGTCAACAATAACGAGTTAACACACTTAAAAATTTTTTGAGAGGGTAGGTCTCGTGTTAGGTGTTCTTACCACATTAATTAAAAAATATATAAACCTTTGCTCTTTTTTTTTTAATTTTTTTTTCAACGTTTATTTATTTTTGGGACAGAGAGAGACAGAGCATGAACGGGGGAGGGGCAGAGAGAGAGGGAGACACAGAATCGGAAACAGGCTCCAGGCTCTGAGCCGTCAGCCCAGAGCCTGATGCGGGGCTCGAACCCATGGACCGCGAGATCGTGACCTGGCTGAAGTCGGACGCTCAACCGACTGCACCACCCAGGTGCCCTTAAACCTTTGCTCTTATAAGCCCCTAGAAGAGAATGAAAAGACAAGCCACAGACAGGGATACAATATTTTCAAGTCTTATATCAAATAAAGGTCTTATATACAGACTATATACCAAATATCAAAATTCAATAATTATAACCTAATTGTTTGAATGGGCGAAAAATGTGAACAGACACTTTACCCCCAAAGATATAGGGATGGCAAATAAACACATTAAAAGATGCTCAATATCATTCATCGTTAGGGAAATCCAAACTAAAACCACCCTGAGATACCACTACATATTCATCCCAATGGCAACACAGGTGAATCACTGAATGCTTATGTGAGTGATAGGAGCCAGCCCCAAAAGTTCATACTATAGGATTCTAAGTTTTATAAAATCCTAGAAAAGCAAATTTATCTGTAATGACAAGAAACTGTCTACTAGGTTGAGTAGGGTGGGGAGAAGTGACAGGGAGGAATATAAAGATTTGGAGGCGAGGGATATGTTCATTATCCATTGCTGCTCTTGGTGGCGTATATGTTCGTATATGCATCATTCATGTATACATGTGTCAACACTAACCAAGTTGCACACTTTATACAAAGCTTACTATACCACAATTATAACTCAGTAAATTCTATCTTTAGGAAATAATCACAGATATTTAGGAAATCATCTTTTAAAAAAATCACCATAAAAATGTATTTATAAGGATATTCATTGCAGAAATATTTACAGTAGCACAGAAGCTCAGAGGTAGATTCAAAGCCCAGTGATAGAAAGATGTAAATTGTGCTTTTACATTATAAAAATAAGTATTATACATTTATATAATGTGAGATTTGTGATGGAATTTTACTCACATGAGGAAAGGCATGCAGTATGTTACTGAAGAAAAGCAGGATACAAAATCTTGAAATATAATCACAATTTAACTACCGTCTCCCCCTCACACCCACTAGGAGATAACATTCCTGAAGGAGATGCACTAAAATTATCTGAGTGGTGGTATTATGGACGGTTTTTTTTCCCTTTTATTTTTTAATTTTTTTACTTATTTTACTTAATAAGGTAAAAATTATTTTACCTCCATATTTTCCAAACTTTTTATAATAACCACAATCAACTTTTTTACCCAGAAAATAACATCTTTTAAAAAATATAATTTATGGTCAAGTTAGCTAATATACAGAGTATATACCGTGTGCTCTTGGCTTCAGATTTCCTTGATTCGTCACTTGCACAAAACATCCAGTGCTCATCCTAACAAGGGCCCTCTTCAATGCCCATCACCCATTTTCCTTGCTCCCCACACCCCCCACTCCTTTCCACCCTCAGTTTGTTCTCTGTATTCAAAAGTCTACTATGGTTTGCCTCCCTCTCTGTAACAATATATATTTTTTTCATTCCCTCTCCCATGGTCTTCTGTTAAGTTTCTCAGGATCCACATATGAGTGAAAACATATGGCATCTGTTTTTCTCTGCCTGGCTTATTTCACTTAGCATAATACCCTCTAGTTCCATCCATGTTGTTGCAAATGGTGAGATTTCATTCTTTTTTGTTGCCGAGTACTATTCCATTGTGTGTGTGTGTGTGTGTATCACATCTTCTTTATCCATCAGTTGATGGACATTTGGGATATTTCCATAATTTGGCTATTGTTGATAGCGCTTCTATAAACATTGGGGTACGTGTGCCCCTATGAATCCGTACTCCCGTATTCTTTGGACAAATTCCTAGTAGTGCTATTGCTGGGTTGTAGGGTAATTCAATCTTTAATATTTTTAATATTTATTTATTTTTGTGAGAGAGACAGAGAGAGACAGAGCACAAGCAGGGGAGGGACAGAGAGAGAAGGAGACACAGAATCTGAAGCAGGCTCCAGGCTCTGAGCCATCAGCACAGAGCCCGATGCGGGGCTTGAACCCACAAACCGTGAGATCATGACCTGAGCCGAAGTCGGACGCTCAACCGACTAAGCCACCCAGGTGCCCCAAAACCACAATTTCCTTACCCATTCATCAGTTGATGGACATTTAGGCTCTTTCCATCATTTGGCTTTGTTGAAAGTGCTGCTATGAACATTGGGGTACAAGTGCCCCTATGCATCAGCACTCCTGTATCCCTTGGGTAAATTCCTAGTAATGCTATTGCTGGGTCATAGGGTAGATCTAGTTTTAATTTGTTTGAGGAACCTCCACACTGTTTTCCAGAGCGGCTGCACCAGTTTGCATTCCCACCAACAGGCAAGAGGGTTTCCGTTTCTCCACATCCTCTCCAGCATCTATAGTCTCCTGAGTTGTTCAGTTTAGCCACTCTGACCGGCATGAGGTGGTATCTCAGTGCGGTTTTGATTTGTATTTCCCTGATGAGGAGCAACGTTGAGCATCTTTTCATGCGCCTGTTGGCCATCTGGGTGTCTTCTTTAGAGAAGTGTCTATTCATGTTTTCTGCCCATTTCTTCACTGGATTATTTGTTTTTCGGGTGTGGAGTTTGGTGAGCTCTTTATAGATTTTGGGTACTAGCCCTTTGTCCGATATGTCATTTGCAAATATCATTTCCCATTCCATTGGTTGCCTTTTAGTTTTGTTGAGTGTTTCCTTTGTAGTGCAGAAGCTTTTTATCTTCACGAGGTCCCAATAGTTCATTTTTGCTTTTAATTCCCTTGCCTTTGGGGATGTGTCAAGTAAGAAATTGCTGCGGCTGAGATCTGAGAGGTTTTTTCCTGCTTTCTCCTCTAGGGTTTTGATGGTTTCCTGTCTCACATTCAGGTCCTTCATCCATTTTGAGTTTATTTTTGTGAATGGTGTAAGAAAGTGGTCTAGTTTCATTCTTCTGCATGTTGCTGCCCAGATCTCCCAGCACCATTTGCTAAAGAGACTGTCTTTTTTCCATGGGATATTCTTTCCTGCTTTGTCAAAGGTTAGTTGGCCATACATTTGTGGGTCCAGTTCTGGAGTCTCTATTCTATGCCATTGGTCTATGCGTCTGTTTTCGTGCCAATACCATACTGTCTTGATGATTACAGCTTTGTGGTAGAGGCTAAAGTCTGGGATTGTGATGCCTCCCGCTCTGGTTTTCTTCTTCAATATTACTTTGGCTATTCAGGGTCTTTTGTGGTTCCATACAAATTTTAGGATTGCTTGTTCTAGCTTCTAGAAGAATGCTGGTGCAATTTTGATTGCATTGAATGTGTAGATAGCTTTTGGTAGTATTGACATTTTAATAATATTTATTCTTGCAATCCATGAGCATGGAATGTTTTTCCATTTCTTTGTATCTTCTTCAATTTCCTTCGTAAGCTTTCTATCGTTTTCAGCATACAGATCTTTTACATCTTCGGTTAGGTTTATTCCGAGGTATTTTATGATTCTTGATGCAATTGTGAATGGGATCAGTTTCTTTATTTGTCTTTCTGTTGCTTCATTATTGGTGTATAAAAATGCAACTGACTTCTGTACATTAATTTTGTATCCTGCGACTTTGCTGAATTCATGTATCAGTTCTAGTAGACTTTTGGTGGAGTCTGTAGGGTTTTCCATGTAGAGTTTCATGTCATCTGCAAAAAGTGAAAGCTTGACTTCATCTTTGCCAATTTTGATGCCTTTGATTTCCTTTTGTTGTCTGATTGCTGATGCTAGAACTTCCAACACTATGTTAAACAACAGCAGTGAGAGTGGACATCCCTGTCGTGTTCCTGATCTCAGGGGAAAAGCCCTCAGTTTTTCCCCACTGGGGATGATATTAGCTGTGGGCTTTTCATAAATGGCTTTTATGATGTTTAAGTATGTTCCTTCTATCCCGACTTTCTTGAGGGTTTTTATTAAGAAAGGATGCTTTATTTTGTCAAATGCTTTTTCTGCATCGATTGACAGGATCATATGGTTCGTTTCTTTTCCTTTATTAATGTGATGTATCACATGGATTGATTTGCGAATGTTGAACCAGCCCTGCAGTCCAGGAATGAATCTCACTTGATCATGGTGAATAATTCTTTTTTATATGCTGTTGAATTCGATTTGCTAGTATCTTGTTGAGAATTTTTGCATCCATATTCATCAGGGGTATTGGCCTGTAGTTCTCTTTTTTTTTCTGGGTCTCTGTCTGGTTTCGGAAGCAAAGTAATGCTGGCTTCATAGAATGAGTCTGGAAGTTTTCCTTCCCTTTCTATTTTTTGGAACAGCTTGAGAAGGATAGGTATTATCTGTGCTTTAAATGTCTGGTAGAATTCCCCAGGGAAGCCATCTGGTCCTGGACTCTTATTTGTTAGGACATTTTTGATAACTGATTCAACTTCTTCACTGGTTATGGGTCTGTTCACGTTTTCTATTTCTTCCTGTTTGAGTTTTGGAAGTGTGTGGGTGCTTAGGAATTTGTCCATTTCTTCCAGGTTGTCCAGTTTGTTGGCATATAATTTTTCATAATATTCCCTGATAATTGGTTGTATTTCTGAGGGATTGGTTGTAATAATTCCATTTTCTCTCATGATTTTATCTATTTGAGTCCTTTCCCTTTTCTTTTTGAGAAGCCTGGCTAGAGTTTTATCAATTTCGTTTATTTTTTCAAAAAACCAACTCTTGGTTTCATTGATCTGCTCTACAGTTTTTTTAGATTCTATATTGTTTATTTCTGCTCTGATCTTTATTATTTCTCTTCTTCTGCTGGGTTTGGGGTCTTTGCTGTTCTGCTTTTAGTTCCTTTAGGTGTGCTGTTAAATTTTGTATTTGGGATTTTTCTTGTTTCTTGAGATAGGCCTGGATGGCAATGTATTTTCCTC